CTTCTTTCCGTTGAATCAAGTCAAGTGCTAAGTATTCACCTAAAGGGCTAATGCACACCGCGAAGCTACCTGAAATCACGCTCCACGGAGCAACCTTCTCAAGTGTGTGGGTGCGTGATGCATGGCATGGCTTGCTGTCCGTCGAGTTCAGTGCAGTTCGGCGCTGCCGCTTATCACTTTTCTCAAGGCATCAGGATGACCGTCGCTTGCGACAGAAACAGTTGCCGCCGCCGCATTGCATTGCTTTTGCTTGCAGGGGCCGACCTTGCCTTTTCCGTTTTGGGTTGTGGGAGCTCTTTTTGTTTTAGCCGACTGGCCCTCCCGGCAATCCACATTGGTAGCGGAGCTAGATGGAGCTAAGGGGCGGAATTGAGATTTCCAGGCTGCCTGGCTTGATGGCCGACGCCATGCTGGGCGATGGCATGCCGGGCGCCGACGCTGAGAGGAGGCAGCTGTGCCGATTCCAGCTGACTCGCAAGAGCCTGGGCAGGATGCATGGGGTGCAGGTGGGCCTTAGGCTTGTTCCTGCTTCAGGGCAAGATGGAGGTGGGGCCAAACTGGCGTCGAGAGTTGAAGACGTGCCGCGCTTGGCGACGGACGCCAAAAGTCTTCATGACCACCTCCACAAGACCACCAAAAGGCAAGCAGCCTTGGAGATGCTGCTGAAGCAGCTCATCTAGGATGAGGGTCGTGGGTCTGAAGTGGACACCGACATGGCGTCCGGTGACGAAAGATATGGGCGCGACCCTCCTTTGAGGACCTGAAGAAGACAGGTCGGTTTTGCTTGATCCAAACAGAGAATGTGATGCCAAAGAAGAAAAGGGACGGCTGGAATCAGAAGGGGCAACGTCGCAAAGAGCTAATGAAAGAAAAGGGAAGGGCCGACGGCTAACGCTCTCTCCCTTTGATGTGACGCTGGGGTCGGTCGAGTTCAGCGCAGTTTGGCGCTACCGCTTTTCCCAAGGCGTCCGGATGACCACTGCCTGTGACAGAAACAGTTGCTGCTTGCGAGGGGCGACCTTGGTCTTTGCTTTGGGTTGTGAAAGTATTCGGTCTTAGCGGATCCACAGTGTGACCACTTGTTTTCACAATGGTCGCGGGGCCAAAGTGCTCCAGGCTAACTTCCAGGCTATCACAGGCTCCTCCCACCCAATCTCGTTGAGGTCGACAGTGGCAGCTCGACTCCGCTGTTCACCAACCACCGTTGAGTTGCGGCTATGGAGAGCGGCGGATGGGCGCACATAGAAAAAGGCAGGCCCATTTTGTTGTATCATCCCTCCATAGGATAGATTGGGGCAGATCCTCGCTCCGAGAAGTAGCGAGAGGTTGAAGGCCAAGGCATGAAAGTCTTGGAGAGTATATGGGGAAGCCTCCTGCTTTTTGCATATTATGGTGAGGGCAGAAGAGCACAAGGACATGATGCTTGAAACTCATCAGATATGACCGGAAGTTGATGGCCATTATGGCCACCATTGCTGGGAATCTGACAGGATCATTCAAGTGGAACGTTCTCAGTGAGATCAGGCCTGAAGTGCTGTCACGTTAGCAAGGTCTGCGTCCGCCAAAGGAGTTAAGGCATTCTCACTTCCCAAGAGTGGCGCAGCGACGAGGCAGATGTTCTTCATGAGAACAATATCACCGAAGGATCGGCGCGGCAGACAATCGTTTTCCACCCTGCGAAGAGCGCAGGTGCTCGTTCATGAACTGGTTGGTTGACTGGTGGATCGTTTGATTGCTTTATGTGTTACTTTTCGCAAGCTCAGACTGCAGCTTGGGAGGGGCCGCGCCGGTGATAGCCGTAGGCTTCGGCTGGGGGCACCTCTGAAGGGGAGCAAGCTAGTCTAGTCACACCAGCCCTTTTTCCCATTCAACAGCCTAAAAGGGGATTCATCCGGATTCTCTGACCACTTACTGTCCCCACCAATGTTACGAAATCTAATGCAGGAGGGGCCCCCGCGTCTCACTGCGTACCCACCACGTGCTGACCTACCTTCCGCTCGTTGCCACCGAGAGTTGGAGAGCAGGTGCTCCTTCACAGTCGTGACCCTGCAGCTGTTTGGCGGAATGCCTCGATGCAATTTGAGGACGTTTCCTGTGACATGGAAAAGTGCCATGGCTGCCGAACGTCGCAGTTCTCAAGAACCCCCCTGAGTCCCACACAACAACGTGCGGAATGTGGATGGAGTTTTACATATACACATTATTAAATATAAACATACATTGATGCATTTTTAAAAGGGTGGATCAGTAGATCCGTAGGTTTCAGCGTTTGAACAACATGCTTATATCGCACAACAATAGCTTCCGGAATGTGATTTCTATCCAAGATGTAGGCCCAAGCGCAAGACGGACCCCGAAACATGCCCTGCAGTAAATACAAAGCGAAAGGTAATGTTTCCCCCAAATGGCAGTGATGTCTCACCTCCGAAAACCGGCACTAAACGCAGGGCGACCGCGGCATACTTGCTCTGTGAACGCAGCAGGTCATTGGAGGGAACCTGAAGAAAAACATGTTCTTAGCCCGTCCGACCCACAAAAAAATGGACAGAAGTTGGACAATGTGACTTGAACGTCATTGGATCGGTACATATGCGCTGACCTGCAATGGCATTGATGGGTGGTTTTTGTTTAATTACCACATCTACTGACACTGCTTTCTAAATGCAATTTCACTATAGTGGGGGATGTTCAGCATTGGGTTGGTAACCCCGTCAAACTCATGAATGAGTGGTTGGCAACTCGTATCGTAACACACACTGTGATGAGTGTCAAATTGGTCAATTATTGGATTAAAGCCTGTATGACTTTCTTGGACTAATGTTGTTCCTGAACAAATCTGGCGTTTAAACCCAAGCATACAAGACTTCGGCCTTTTAATTGGTTTTTTGTATGAAAATATGTATGCCTGCAAAAATATCCAAATGTCTCAAGCAACACCTGAGAGAGAGAGAGAGAGAACTGGAGAGCTAGAGAGTTAGAGAGCTAGCTAGCAACTAAAAGTTCGAACCCGTGTGAAGGTGACTGAAGCACGACCGACCAAGGCAAATACGGTATCATACTCTGGTTGCTACCCTCCTTGAACTAGCACAGCTTCCAGATTCCCCTGATTGGAATCGCAATCAAAGGAAATATTTGCATATTGTAGTTGCAACAAAGGTCTGAGTTTTGGATGAGCTCAGGAAGAAAGTGTTGGAATCATAAGAAGAATACAAAGAAGAATTGAAGTAGCAAGCATGGGGTAGAGCAGATAGGGCAGTACTTTTTGCTCGATGTGATAGGGCCCTGCAACCCCGAGAACAAACAGGTACAATAGCTCATCTCGTTGGAATTTGTTCATGTCGTTCGAGGCAAGTTGTGTCAGTTGGAATTTGGCCTCGGGGCTGCAATGACCAGCGCGTCGTGCAGAATTTCACAATGGGGGCTTGCTACTCGTCAGAATTCTGCAAGTAAATGCACTGCGCGAAGACTCCGAAAAGCCAGCATTCTTGGAATTACACTTCAGGGGTAGTGAAGTGTAAAGGTGCGCTATGTGTTGTTCGAGCTGTTTCACCACTATCCTGCTGGTCAGGCTACAGCCCTGTCAAGACAATGGTGCAATCCTACAAGTGTGACGGAGCAGGACAAGAACAGTGTCCTGTGGCCACCACCTGTGGTATTTCCTTTTTGTATCGTCAATGCTTCAATTCGTTGCAAGCGTAGGCAATGCAACTCGTTTGGTATGGCTGGTGAATGGAAATGACACACAGCGTGAGTGGACGCATCTTGGGCAATGATGTCATGCGGTCCTGAAACACGGCCCAAAGTGAACTAAGTAAACAGGCATGCGACTTGTTCATTTGTGTACGCACTCGTTGTAGTTCTCTGGCATGCCCCAAAGAAGATATTGTTGATAAGGGATGCCGCAATAAATTGAACATGGAAACAAGGATAGCCGATAGCACACATTTGATCACATTTGCAACTTTTGCTGTCACTTCGCTGAAGACTCGGCGTCATACCAGGCTAAGCAGCACCACACCTTGTATTACTGTTCCTTCGTCACCATCCTAGGCTCAACGAGACAGTCCCATGCCCACATACGGATCCAATTGATGCAGAGACTGTGAAAGCAGACGGCCAATGTCATGGCTCTGTGACTTGGACAGCATGGAAAAGCAAATGTTTGTTTGTACATTATGTTAGACTTTGACAGGCCACTGCCTAGTAGCCTAGTATGTAGTAGCCTAGTAGCCGAGTATGTATCTGAAGTTTCGCATTATTGCAGCACTTGCAAGTTGAGGCCATTCAAAACAGCACGCAAGGGTGGGTAATGCAAGATCAAGCTGATGCTGGGCTTTGTGAAGTCCTATTTTGCGAGCTGTTGTTTTGGGCCAGGAATGTGGCCTGTAGTCAAGGCAAGCGCTGACTGAACAGAAGGTGTAGGGGGAGAGAGAGAGAGAGAGTGTGTGGCTTCATTGGGGCCCTTGATTTGATTTTGGGCGGTTTGACACTAGAGCGGTCGGTGCTGAGGAGGTATCCGAGCAACTTGGAGGGTATAGGCTTTTGATGTGTGTCTTGTTTGTGGCGTTGAATGTTGGAAGGTTGCACTGGCCAAGCACGTCCACGTGGTGACACTATAAATGTCGTTTTGAAATACACCGTTGTTGCAACTCTACAAAGCTTACAGCAGCTCACAGGTACGGCTTAAAGCCTTTTCAGAAGCAAGGAGCACCAAGTTCCTTGGATGAGGCCGCAGAACGGCCTGTTTATTCATTGGCCATTTGGTTGCAAACAGTGGCCGTGGCACCTGTGTCAATTCTGCTTCGCACAATCTAGTGAATCTAGTGTCTAGTGGAAAGCATGTGGATAAAAAGAAAAACATCAAAGGAAGATATCAATTGTGCATCGCGGTGAACTCGTGAACTCCCGTCTACGAAACGCCAGCAATTTCATGTTGTTGAGTTTTGAGAAAGGTTACCCTAAGTGCACGATTTGGAAGGACAAATTGCATGTGGATGGGCTTGGCTATTGCTGTGACAAAGCACGGATCATGTTGATGGGTGCATTAGAGAAGCCGGGTCAGCCATCTACAATGTGCATCAAAAAGCAGTTGTGCTTTACAAGGTGCATCGCTACTAGGAACAAGTGCATTACTACTAGTAACAAGAAAAAGCAGTAGTTGAGCATGCATACGATATTCAGCCTCAGATGAACAACAACCTCATCGACCAGGGGAGTCCTATCTACGGCAACCTGACAGCAGACAGCATGGCAAACATGTCGTTTGTTTGCAAACTGCAGCAAGAATGCCTTGGCACTGCCCCATGTTCATGTGACCATAAGCCAGTCATGATTTCAGAACCAAGTCCAATGGGTCCAATGAGTGGACTTTCTGCATTCAACATTCCAGTGAGGGCGATTCACAAGCGGCCCCACTTGTTCTTTTTCGACTGACGCTTCCTCCAATCATTACAGCATCTAGAACTATATATAAATATATACCTATATATATAATGATAATTGACTGGAGAGTTGGAGGCGGTTTGTAGTGTGTTTGTCACATTTCGTGAAGTTTGCTCTTGCAACGAGAAACTTGGACTTCTCAACAGTTTGTAAGTTTCAGAGATGATTGGGGCTGGGTTTCAAACAAGAAGGGAGTGAGTGTATGCGCTGTAGGTTGGCTCATGTCAGACCAGTCCCGTTTTGTCATGAGCTCCTCGCTTGATGGAAGCAGCTCAAGATTATGTATACAACTCCTTCCATTTCAGTCTTCCCAGCACTACCGACTTGCATTCACCGACGTACACTATTCCTGCTTCTGACATACATGACACTGCTTCAACTCCAGGGTACGGGAAGCTTTCAGCCTTTAAGTTGAGGAGATGTTTCTGCAGTTTTTTCCTCGAAGTACATCCACGGCGGCGCTTTATTGTCTGCAGTGGATACTGGCTTCGTCGAGACATGCTGCCTCTTTGATTGCAAGGATGCAGCAGTACAGTCACTTCATGCAAACCAAATTCCACGAGACCTCACAAATGACACTGCAGCTCAAGATGAGATCGTGCTACATGATCTACTTTAAGTTTAGTGCACTAATGCAGGTTCTGACTTCTCCGAGCCCTTTTCCATCTCAGAATCAGTTTGCCAGGTCTCGAAAAAAGGAGTTGCTTTCCGTGGGCCCCGCAGCATGACTGCAAAGTTCCTTAGCTGGCAAGAATTGCTCAACGTTGCTATTCACCTCATCTAGTTGACAAACTCTGTGTTGGGTTTTGTCTTCAAAACTTGATCGATGGACCATGCTTGAGCACTGCTTCGCAGCCTTCGGCAAAAGCTCAAGCCGAGGCCGTGAGCCCATTTAAGCAGCTCGGCACCATGAAGCACAACAAGCATTTGTTTCTGATCAATGAGGCATGGGTGGAACACTCTTCGAAGAATTGCTATCGCCGACACGGCAAAACTGCAGGACTTTTGGGGGCCAGCATCAACGCTAAGAAGTATTTTCAGGAGGAGGGGAGAGCTGACACACAGGAAGGAGTGCACAAGATTGCACAGGTCAGAATGCTGATGCATACAGTTTGGTGACATTGAGAGTATCATCTCCACAACAGTGTGTTTCAACATGTTTCAACCCTTGGGAGTGATTGGCCCTTCTCAAGAAAATGGTGTGTGAATTTGCGTTGGACTCCTGGTTGCCGGACTCCACTCTTGAGAAAAAGGCAGCTAATGAAGGATATCAATATGGATGCTGATTCAAAATGCTCCGCAAGCAGCCAGGATGGAAGGGGATTGGGGAGCCCAGCCCCTGCCTGGGACCAATTTCCTGAACTACTTTGAAGCTGCAGTACTAGGCAACTGCTGACAAGATCTGATGAGCGAAGCCAACCTCCTTAAACCGACTGAGTGTGCGTGCACCTGTCAAACCCTGTATATAATTCTCGCGCAGGTCAGTTAAAGGCGCCGGCTTCGGTGGCCGGCCTCAAAGATTGGCAGCCAATGATCCAGAGAAAGTTTGTTGCTGGAGTTGGTGGAAAGGACGTTTGTGGTACAACATTGAGTGAACCAGGTGAGATTCTTCATTGGAGCGTTCCCAACACTCTTCGGGACAGATTTGGGCTTACGCCTTCAACAGTGGGCGAGGCCTGCCATGCAGGATGCAGTGGTTGCGTCAAAGTGGAACCCTCAACTGAAGATTTGGCTTCAGGAAGAGCGGCAAGGTTTTGGTTTGGGCGCTTGGTCCGAACAACCAGCCTTTTGTCAGGACCTCAGGGTTGCTTTGGAGAACTCAACGGTTGCAGCAGTCAACGAGCTTGCAGCTTGCAGCATGTGTTTGCTGCACATTAGTCACAAAATGAATCAAAATGACGGTCTTCTCGCTATTTGCAACGTAAAGCTTCATCGCACCCTGCAGGGATTGCTATTCATGCTATGCCATGTTGCTTTCTAGTTCAATTGCAATGGTTCAGTCTACAGCTCTATTCAGGCAAGCATGCAAGGATCATAGATTGACCAAGGAGCTGCCAGACGACGCTTAATATTTGACATTCAAGAACTGTATATAATTTGATTTGCAAAATCAAAATCAGGAAGCCTGGGGTGACTTTTTCCCTGGCCCCAGTCACGCTGCCATGAGGCCACCAGGCCTTCAGCTAGTGCCCCAGCTTTCAACTTCGATTTGATGACTCTTGGTGACAAGAGGGCGCCCCGAGCGCAGCATGCGTGGATATCAAGACAATCAAGAGGCTTCTGTCCCCAGGTGACACGCTCAAGAAAGCATTGCCAAACACAAATATAAAAGAGCAACTCCGTCACTAACCATGGCTATGAAAATTAGCAGGGTTTTGAGTCTATACAAGGCGCGCGCGGGTGTGTGTGTGTGTGTCCACTCCTGTTTCCAAGACGAAGAGGGCTGCATTCCATGGCTGATATGATCCTGGGACGCTAGGATCACGTACCTGCAATTTTAATACTAATTTTGATTTTCAATCGCTCAGATTTCTAAGTCAGTGCAACGCCGTCTCATACGTTGTTTCCTGCAGTATCTAGATTTAAAGGGCTAATGCACACCGCGAAGCTACCTGAAATCACGCTCCACGGAGCAACCTTCTCAAGTGTGTGTGTGTGTGTGTGACGTGTGCGCCAACCTAAACACGGGAACCTAAATCAAAGCCTTCACGGGAACCTAAACACATATGCGCCGAAAACGG